ATGGCATAAGAAAAGCTGGGGATTTTTCCAGCTTTTACATTTAATTCCAGATATACTTGAGAATAAAGGGCATAAGAACCTTACTCTAAATCACTATAGAAATTCTCTTCATCAAGTACAAAAAGACCATACAGATCCATGTTTACAGCATCTGAAACTCCTATCAAGTGAATCCTTACAGTAATTCACAAAGACTCATCTCAAAGTCTTCCAAAAAGATGGCAATAGTTAACCAGTATAATTATTGAATCCATCAGGGTTACCACTTATTACAATCATTTGCATTTCAGATGCCGTACTCTAGCAAAATAAGGTTGTTATCTCAGAACCAGTTTTAAGAGGGGTGAATTTATTTCCCAGTAAGATAAGGTGACCTGTAGTGAAGAAACTGATGATCTTACAAGCTCATCCAGGAAAGTATCCAGCCTGAGGGATGACTCAGTTATAACTACTAACTAGGGTCCAGAAACCCAATAGTTAATGTGTGTCACAAACATTGAAGTTCCTTCTCTCCACCACATGGCAATCAGCTGAACTTCTCACTATAAATAGAAGTTCCCTGGCACTTATGCAAGAAAACCATGGCCAGTCCCTGGGAGAGAGAATTCCCTGTCCTGACAAATAGGCATCAGCTAAATTACTCTCATCCGTTTTTCCAACTTCTACAGCTTCTATATTATGGCTACTATAACCAGTGGCATTAATCTCGGTGGAGAAGAAATGAGAGATGTTTACATAACTGGAGCAGAGATAATTTTGAAGCAAAGGATGAGGAAGCTAGAAGAATGAAAAATCTACTCTTTCCCCCGACACTGCCCCACATCATCGCCTCGGATACCAACCCAATAAATGTGGAAATTGGTACCTCTAGTTGGTATAGCTTTTGGAGAAAGAAAGGCCTTAGTGAAGAAGCAGGTACAAATTGAGACAAAAAAATAAAGAAAATAATTTGTGAATAAGAGGAGTTTGTCATAGGATCAAGGCAAAATGGATATGTTTACTCTTTTTAAGCTGAAATTTAAATCATATACTATAAATTTGCCCTTTTAAGGTACACAATTCCATGGCTTTTAGTATATTTACAAATTCATGCAATTATCACCAATATCTTATAATATATTTTATCACATCAAGAAGAAACCCCATATTTATTAGTAGTCGTGTCCAATCTCCCTTCCACCCAACCCTTGGCAACCATGAATCTACTTGTCTCTATAGATTTACTGATCCTGGACATTTTATATAAATGATATCATGCAATATGTAGTCTTTTTTTTTCTAGCCTCTTTTCCTTAGCCTAACGTGTTCAAGGTTTTCTCATGTTGTTGCATGTAACACTGTTTGACACCTTTTGATGACTGAATAATATTTTATTACACTTAGGAAGCAAATTGTTTATCCAATCACCAGTTGTTGGGTTGGACAACTTCCACCTTTTAACTACTATGAATAATACTGCTATTGACATTTGTGTATGAGTTTTTAAGTGGACTTAGGTTTTCAATTCCCTTGAATATGTAGTTGGTAGAATTGCTGACTCAAATGGTAACTCTATGTTGAACTTTTTGAAGAACTGCCAAACTGTTTTCCATTCTCCATTCCTACCAACAATGTAATGTCTTTCATTTCTCTAGTCTTCAAGTTTCTTGAGGGTGAGAACTAAGTCTTATGTTCTATTGTATCCCCAGAGCCTATAACACAGAGCCTAATGCACTATGGTTTTCTATAATTGTGAGTGAATGGATAAATAGCAACCCAAAATAATTTTTTAACATTTTTGCCTTCTGGAACAGCCCTAATCAAAATATACCATCCTGATATCTTTAACTTTCATCTCTCCAGACTCTTTCCCCTATGAAGCTATTATGAGTAATTAACATACTCCTAGATACCAGCACTTCTTGAAATAGGTGGTCTATGATTGCTAGACCAAAGGATTGTGATCTACTTGGTGTTGCTCACCTGAGCATTAAAGAAGTTAATTTAAAATGATCTGATAGTGGAACCAAGTGTTTCCAAGTTATCAGCTAGCAGACAGTCAGATGTTCATGCACATTTTCAAAGTGATCCTCCAACAAATAGAGGTACAGGACATATTTGACTCTAGGACACCATCTACTGGCCCTGCTGTCAACAACACTAAATGAACCTGGAAAGGAATGGACTCCCACATGGGGCAAAAGGCAACATATGGTACCCATCCCATTACAAAGGCGACCAGAGAAGATCTGCAGATGAAAGGGCCTTCAAATTCTAGCAGCTCTGAATGGGGATTAGTCTCCCAAAACTGACTCGTAAGTAGCCTGATGACTTCCAGCTCCGACCAATTAAAGAGACTATTGCATAGAGGAAATACCTACTTTGATCCTTAAACAAAATGGACATGTGACATGGATGGAACTCACACTTTAAAGATGAATAACTCCTCTTAATATTAATAGATTCTATCGCTTACAAAATCACATATGAATTTACACGAATTCCTTGTAAAATCTTACAAAAATATTTCCACTTCCACTCCTGATAAGACATTTACTGATTCTCACACAAAAGACTCTCCCTGATGTTTTACATAAGACACATTTCACACATTACATTGTACACATAACATCTGCATCATTTAAATTTTCCAAGAATACAAGTTGATAATGAATGACTATGTTCAGTAAATTCCTGAGATTTTATGTAAATTATGTTTGATAAGCAGAATGCTCCTTTCTCACATTAATGGGATTAAGGATGTTCATTCTCTAATCTTAAGAACTGTGAATATGTTGTATTACATACCAAAAGGTCCTTTCTTCAAAAGAAGACATACATGCAGCCAACAAACATATAAGAAAATGCTCAACATCATTGATCATTAGAGAAATGCAAATCAAAACCACAGTGAGATACCATTTCATGCAAGTCAGAATGGTAATTACTAAAAAGTAAAAAACAAGAGATCTTGGCAAGGTTGTAGAGAAAAAGAAACACTTTTATGCTGCTGGTGGGAGTGTAAATTATTCAACCATCGTGTGGCAATTCCTCAAAGACTTAGAGACAGAAATAGCATTTGACCCAGCAATCCCAATACTAGGTATATACTCAAAGGAATATAAATCATTCCATTATAAAGATACATGCATGTATATGTTCACTGAAGCACTGTTCACAATAGCAAACACATAGAATCCACACAAATGTCCATCAATGATAGATCAAATAAAGAAAATGTGGTACATACACACCATGGACTAATATGCAGCCATAAAAAGAATGAGAGTATGTCCTTTGCAGGGACATGGAAGGAGCTGGAAGCCATTTTTCTCAGCAAACTAACACAGGAGTAGAAAACCAAAGACTGCATGTTCTCTCTTGTAAGTGGGAGCTAAATGATGAGAACATCTGGACAGGATATATTGAGGGAACAACACACACTAGGGCCTGTCAGAGTGGGGCTTGGATGAAAGGAGAGCATCAGGAAGAATAGTTAATGGATGGTGGGCTTAATACCTAGGTGATGGGATGATCTGTGCAAAAAACTACCATGGCACATGTTCACCTATGTAACAAACCTGCACATCCTGCACATGTACCCCTGAACTTAAAAGTTGAAGAAAACACACATACACAAAAGGGCCTTTGCTGATGATGTAATAAATGTTATAGACTTTAAAACAGGGGGATTATCCTGGATCATTATACAGGCCCAGCGTAATCACACAATGCCTAAAAAGGAGTGATATTTCTTCGACCAGAGTCAGGAAAGAGGCTTCTTAGGAGGAAGTTGGAAAAATCTGAAGAGTCAGGGGTCTTGACCCACTGTTGCTAGAGATAGTGGGAAAGCTTAAAAAGAAACGTGAGCAGCCTCTAGGCGTAAAGACCAGCCCCCAGATGACAGCCAAGGAAGTGGGGAGCTCAGTCCTATAATCATAAGGAATTGAATTTGGTCAACAACCTAAACGAACATGGAGGCAGTCTGATCCTCAGAATCTCCAGACAAGAATGCCATCCAGCCAACATGAGGATTTCAACCTTGTGATATACTAAGCAGAGGGCCCAGCTGAGCCACACTCTACATACAAAACAATGAATAAAGAAAGGTATTGTTTTAAGTCACCAAATTTGCAGTATTGTGTTATGGTAGCAACAGAAAACCAATATATTCTCAAATATCAGTATATTAAACTTCAGCATACTGTGGTTTTGAAACACAATTACCACTAGAATGGTCACTTCCAATTGCATATTCCCGGGACCAAGGCACATTCCACTACCAAATATTGTTGTTTATAATGAGTACATGGGAAATTTATGCTCATAATTACTGGGTAGTTTAAAGATGTTATCTAATAATAATATACTGATTTTTAAGTAATTATCCCCAACATTTATACTTTAATGATGCATTTTTTAAAATGAAATAGATTATTACTTTGTTAACTAGTCACGTCTTCATAAAGTTGTCTTACAAGTTTGGTGCAGTTCACTTTAGGAATATATCTCTTTCATTATATGTTTTAGCATATTTTATAGGATTTATTTTTAACATACCCACATATTATATATTAATATACATAAATCGGTCATGTAAACAATAGTGATTATCAATAAAGTTGAATGAATTAATGATTAGAAAAATGTGAGAACATAGATACTAAAGATTTACAGACCTCAAAGTACAAAGAATTCTAGGCAAAAGTCACCATATTTTTAGCATATAAATACATAAAACTAGTAACATTGAGTTACTTTTTAACAAGACTTTATTGGCATGATGACCATATTTTGGTATTTATATTTCTTAAATTAGTAGCTTCAAGTTGCATGTGACTTTATTGCAAGTACATTACAATTGCTTCAGTTGCTCATCTGCAGAACAAACACATGCTTAAGATATGCCAAGTTTTACCTGCTCCAGCCAGTGCTTGTAAATTAAACAATCTAAATAAAATTGAATTATTCTAGAGATCTGGAATATAACATAAAATCTGGATTGGAACATGGACACTTACTTTTTCTGAGCTCTTTCAGCCAGCCTTGCAATCTCTATAGCTGCTTTCCTTGCTTCAAAATCTTCCCTTTTTACTCTCTCTCCAGTCCCTCGGTGGCCTAGCTCCACCAACTGGCGGGCCAGGGTTTCATCCTAAAGAGAAAATTGTTAAATCAGTGGGCAAATGAGACATATTACTTTTACTTACTTACGTACATCCTCCATCTGCAATGTATACCAAGCAATTGCTTTAAATAAAAAATTAAATTCATTTTAAAACTATACATGATCTATTAGATACAAAAAATGAATTTTTCTAATAATACATTATACATATCTGATTTGGTCTTTCTTTCCCATATATTTAAGATGAAAAAAATAAAATGTCAATTGTTAACTTTTCTCTAATGGATTAGAGGACAAAGGTCTGTTGTGTTTTTAATCAATTTATGAGAACAGCTGTAGGTAATTAATTTACTATCTTTAAAACAATAAAACTAGAGACAATGGTGATCATACATGAAAGACTTTTTAAAAACAATGGCAAAAAGAGAGAGAGAGACAGAATCAGGCTGCTTTCAGAGAGTTCAATGTTTCAAAGCCTTACTCCCTTCAAGTCAATTAACTGATGGCACAGAATATTATAACTTCAAATGCAAAATAAAGAGGATCAGAGGAATTTCTTACTTAACCATGAAGATTGCTTCCACATAATGCTGGTACCAATAAAAACAGGAAAGTAGAAACCCGAGATCACCACAAAAAACCTCAAATTGACAAAAAAATTTCCCACAGTATTTTAGGGCTTAAACTTTTCTTACTTTAAGAATTACCACATACATTTTTGTCAATCACATGGTATACTTTAAAAAAATTATTTTCTCATTATTTGATGAGGTATCATTTTCCATAAAGTTATTGGCATAAATACTGTTAAACAACAGTATTTATAATTTAATAATAATTGCATTACCATTTTAATTAAATATAAAATATCTAAAATATGATGAAAACAGAATGTATTTTATTATTATGAATACTCAATTAGTATATAACTGTTAAATGCAAGAACCATCTGATAATTAAAAGAGAAAACTTAAGATGTCTAGTTGTCTATTCCAACCATAGTGGTTAAAGTTATAAGTATTCAAACAAAATAAACAATTATATACTGTAAGCCTAGAAACCTGCCACTTTTCTTTTATAAGCATTAAAAGCAAATGCTAAACTCCATGTAGCAATGTGTACACATTTGCCAAATGATAACAATGCAAAGCAACAGGTCTTGGAAAGCCCAAGGCTATTATTCTTGTTTCTGAGACATTCCCTTGCTTAATAGATTTCTCTATTCCTGTACCAGTTAGTGTGAACCACAAAACTGAGCAAATACCTCCACCTAGTGGAATTAATCTTTAAAAGAAAAACCAATGCAGATTTGGGGATTAATTTACAAAAGTGAGATTATTTGAGTAAGAATTTTCTTAAATATATTACTGAAAGTGAGTTTGTAGAAATAACTTTCAGCTTGGTGAGGCTGTTAGATTCTTCCGTAGGAACATAAATTCCTTGTGGTTAACATAGAATTTTGTATAACAAAGATTACTTACAATTTGCTATATTTATTCACTGAGTGAATTTTATATCCCTGTGTGCTCTATCTGGGTTACACAAAATCATTTGGATAATTCTAGACTCGCCAGTGCTAAACTATATTTCAACAAATGGCATGATCTATTGACAAAACAAGCAGAAAGTCTATATTGATTGCCTCACTTACCATTACCATGCCCTAAGCTGGTGGAATCATAAGTCATCTGTCCATTATGACAACATATTTCTTACATGTTTCAAAATATCCTAGTTAAGAGCAAAGCTATTAGCCCAAAGGAAGAACAATGCCCAAGTTTATCCCAGTAATCTGAGGCTTGCTTGGGGGATTTGCCTTAAAATGGAATCTTGACTTGCATATTCTAACACAACTTTTTCCCAACCTCCAGAATAATGTCTTTAAGAAACACAAAGAAAGACAAAGTCTCAAAGACAAATTCTAAGGCTTGCCAGCTTTCATATTCCCAGAATCCAGAAGAATTTTCTGCAAATACAAGGTAGATAGACTTGAATTGGAAAACAAAATCTATAGGTCCACTGGAAAGTTTGTTTTTTAAAAGAGGCATATCCTTTCTATATTATCTGCCCTAGGATTCAGAAATGTGAAATCTATAATAATCAGAACACCTCACAACTAAATGAGTGCTACTAATTTCATTTTATCTATTTCTACTTACAAAAGTAATATATTATTGTTGGGAAAAATCTAGCAATATAAGACAAATATATCATCCACATCCTATATCACTAAGAGCTTATCATTCAGAGATAATCACTGACATCTTGGCATCTTGGGGTATAGCCTGTCAATCTTTGCTCTTAGCATGTGTTGGAATTCTTTAAACAAAAGTAATATCATGACTCCTGCTTGCAGGGCACAAAGAGGGCACCTAGACCTTCAGCATGCCTTAAGTCAATACCACCCCAGCACAGTGTTCAGTAGGGGCTCATCCACCCTCCAGCTGCACTGCCTCTGCACTGCGGTGAGTGCCTGCAGGGAGGTAGGCACCGCAGCACCTGCTAGCACTTTGCTGCGGTTGCCACACCTCTTTCCCCCTGCCCCACTCAGTGGATTCCAAACCTCAAAGAGCAAAAGAATAAAGTCAGGGCCCAATACAAGTACCCCAGACTTAGAGCACACAGTCCAGGAGTTGAGGGTTGAGCACTGGCCCCTTAAAATCTCTCAGAAGTAAAGCCAGTCAGCTGAATTCACTTTATACCACAGTCAAACCTTCAAAGTCATCAAATAGGATAAAAGGAAAAAAAATCCCATCCCAAGTTTAGCAACCTCAAAAACTGAAAGTAGATAAGCCCACGAGGGTGAAAGAATAGCATAAGAATGATGAAAACTCAAAAAGCCAGAGTGCCTTTTTCCCTCGAAATGACCACATCACTTCTCCAGCAAGAGTTCTGAACTAGGCTGAGAAGGCTAAAACGACAAAAACAGAATTCAGAATAGGAATAAGAACAAAGATTATTGAATTACAGGAGTACAGTGAAGCTGAATGCAGAGAAGCTAAAAATCATGATAAATCAATGCAGGTTCTGACAGACAAAGTAGACAGTAAGAAAAGAATGTAACTAACCTGATGGAGCTGAAAAACACAATACAAGAATTTCATTATGTAATCACAAGTATTATTAGCAGAATAGACCAAGTGGAGGAAAGGATCTCAAGCTTGAAGACTGGCTTTTTGAAATAAGACAGTCAGACAAGAATAAAGAAAAAGAATGAAAAGGAATTTACAAAACCTCTGAGAAATATGGGATTAGATAAATAGATGGAATCCATGACTCATTTGTGTCCCTGAAAGAGATGGAGAGAATGGAATAAACATGGAAAACATACTTCAGGATATCATCAAAAGAACTTCTCCAATCTAGCTAGAGGGGGCAATATTCAAATTCAGAAAATTCAGAGAACCCCAGTAAGGTACTTCACAAGAAGATCATCTCCAACATACATAATCATCAGATTCTCCAAGATTAAAAGGAAAGAAAAACTGTTAAGGGCAGCTAGAGAGAACAGTCAGATCACCTATAAAGGTAAATCCATCAGACTAGTAGCAGACCTTTCAGCAGAAACTCTACAAGCCAGAAAAGACTGGGGGCCCATATTCAACATTCTTAAACGAAATAAAATCCAAAACAGAATTTCATATTTGGCCAAGCCAGGATTCATAAGCAAAAAAGAAATAACATCCTTTTCAGACAAACAAATGCTGATGGAATTTGTTACAACCAGATCTGACTTACAAGCACTCCTAAAGGAAGCACTAAATATGGAAGGACTGTTACCAGCCACTACAAGAACACATTGAAGTACATAGACTAGTGACACTATGAAGCAATCACAAAAACAAGTCTGCAAAATAACTAGCTAAAACTATGATGACAGGATCAAATCCACACATATCGATACTAGCTTTGAAGGTAAATGGGCTAATGCCCCAACTAAAAGCCACAGAGTAGCAAACTGGATAAAGAACCAAAACCCATAGGTATGCTGTCTTCAAGAGACAAATCTTACAAGCAATGGCATAAATAGGCTCAAAATAAAGGAATGGAGAAAAACCTACCAAGCAAATGGAAAATAGAAAAAAAAACAAAAAACAGAGATTACAATTCTGCAATCCTTCTAACAAAACAGCCTTTTAACAAACAAAGATTTTAAAAAAATGATGAAGAAGGGCATTACATAATGGGAAAGGGTTCAATTCAACAAGATCTAATTATCCTAAATATACATGCACCCAAAAGAGGCACATACAGATTCACAAAGTAAGTTCTTAGAGACCTTCAAAGAGACATAGATTCCTACACATTAATAGTGGGAGACTTTAACACCCTACTGACAATATTAGACAGATCATTGAGACAGAAAGTAACAAAGATATTCAGGACATCAGCTTAGCACTAAATCAAATGGAACTGATGAATATCTGCAGAACTGTCTACTCCAAAATAACACAATGTATGTTCTTCTTAATGTCACCTGTCATATATTCTGAAATAGACCACATAATCAGAAGTAAAACACTCTTCAGCAAAAGCAAAATAACTGATACCATAACAAACAATATCTTGGACCAAAGCATAATCAAATTAGAAATCAAAACTAAACAATTCACTCAAAACCATACAACTACAAGGAAACTGAATAATCTGCTCCTGAATGACTTTTCAGTAAATATTGAAATTAAAGCAGACATCTTTAAAACTAAAGAAAACAAAAATAAAATATGCCAGAATCTCTGAGACACAGCAAAGGCAGTGTTGAGGGAACTTTATAGCTCTAAATGCCCACACCAAAAAGTTGGAAGAATCTAAAGTTAACAACCTAACATCACAATTAAAAGAACAAGAGAAGCAAGAGAAAACAAATCCTAAAGCAAGCTAGCAGAAGACAAGAAATAACCAAAACTACAGCTGAACTGAAGGATATTGAGACACACAAAAAAATTCAAAAGATCAATGAATAGAGAAGCTGGGTTTTTGTTTTTTGGTTTTTTTTTTTTTTGAAAAAAAAAAAAAAAACTAATAAA